TTGGAGTAGAAGGGATTTGACAATTTATATTAGGTTTGATTACTGTATATAAGTAAGTCTTTTGTCAGATGGAATATGACGTTTTTATATCACTTCTGAAATTTCACCAGAGTGGGACGAATAATGGATCTCTCAATCTGAATTTATAAAGGATTCGCTCAATTCTACAAAATGGAAAAATAATAATAGAAAACTGCTATTAAATTACAGCAAGTCAAACCTTGTTCCCGTTTGTTTTTTGCTGAAAAAGTTGTGCTAATAAATTAATGAATGCTAATAATACTTTATTTCGAGCCATGGCAGACAAGAACAAAAAACAATACAATACATATACAGTATGTTTGGTTTTATTAACAAAAAGTCAGCTCGAAAAGGAGTGGGAAGAAGTTAAGACTTTCAAACTCCCACCCCCTATTTATTATTCTAGTTTAATTAACTTTAATTATGTGGTTGCAATGGAAAGTTAAACTCAAAATATTTAGCTTTTTGTTTAAAACTATCGACCCATAAGTAGAATATCCTCCTATCTATGTTCAAATAATAGAATAAGTTATAAGATTATAAAACAGAATAAATTAAAACTCTGCACTTTGTTCAGAGGTATTTACAGATGTGTCTGATGCACTTAGCAGCAGAGAATACTTTAATGATGTATAATATGTAGTTACTGTATTAATCCCAGTAAGAGAAATTCAGATGTCTAGTCCTGTTCTAAAAGTCTAAAAAAAAAAAAAACGAATGAAATCATATAATATCCCACTAAGACAGTTTTGGCCCCAGACCAGCCATTACTTCAACTAAATTCAACCCTGGCCATGTTGAGTTTGAGCCCCAGCTTTGAAAAAATCCAAGCCCTAATTATTTAACGAGTTTTCCCATTCAAACCCAGCTGAACGGTGAGATCATGACTCAAGGCACTTACACAAGTCCCCTGCACATGTTTATAAAAGAATCATCTCACATTCCTTGCAGACGACTACATCAACACCCAAACTCGACCTGACAGGAAAATGCAGAACCTTTTTTTTCCCATGAATAATGAACCCAAATGAGCAACTGGAAATGCCCCGAAAAATTAAAGTCAAATCAATTCTTGGATAGAGCCACATCACCACAGTCCAGCGAGCACCGTTACTGACTGCCTCATGAATTTGTCATTGACAGAGACAATGCCCTGCCCCAGCCGGGCTGTCTGCTCCGCTACATGGGTTAGCTCTCATTTGTGTCCCTGGTCACATTATGGGCTATGGCATGCAGCTATGGCAGGCGCAGAGAGTATGCATGGAGGGAGGAATACAGTAGGTAATGGAAGAAAGAGGGACGGTTTTGTAATTTTAACTCGTAATAATGCTTTGGTTTTATATTTATGCTATTAGTTTATTTGACAGGGACTTTTTGCATTAATAAACATTTCTGTAAATGCACCTGAGTTTGGCTATTGTTCATCTGCAGTCCCTAGACAGGTGTAAATATTCCTAAAGATTTGTTCATTCATCTTCAATTCAATAACAGTAAAGTGTCATGTAATAATAAAATGCAGTAAAACACAGAATAAAGGAGAGCGCAAGAAAAACATACAGCACGCAATAAAAGCAGTTCAAATACAACAAGAGATATTTACAATTATTAAGCAATTATATTTTTTCGGACACTAAAAGAGGCTTCACGTTGTCATTATGCACTCACTACATACAATGGTGATGAACGACTACTACTGTGAGAGAGCAGCTGTCCTCCTGTGGACTCACCACCTGCAGAGGGTCAGTGAGGGGCTGGTGCTATGAGACTTGGGTGGCATCTCTGATTGCCACCCCCCTGACCCAGAAATGGATTAAAGGGTAGAAAATGGATGGATGGATGGATGGATGGACTACTACTGTAGCCACAGCTGGCCTGGGGCACAGTTACAGAAGCAAGGCAACCAGTTTGAGCCACCGGCAACCAGTCACACACACACCAGACTCATTCTAGGCTTGGGAGCTCCAGCATTTTTCACCTGGATAGCTACTTTCTCAAGACTAAATGGCAGATAGCTAATCCTTTGTCTCGATCAACATAATTATTATTCATCACAAATTGCTTACTGGCGCATTAAGATTGCATTGACAAAAGTTCTGACCATATGAAGAATATAAGATAAGATATACCTTTATTCGTCTCACAGTGGAGAAATGTCAGTGTCATCGTTGTAATGTAATATTCAGTATTTTGTTATTTGTTAATTTCTAAATCATTTGGGTAGCTACCTGGAAGGGGGTGGCGGGCTACTAACCCCAACCCTCAAGACATCAACTGTTTGGCATTTTACAGCCGCCCCACTGTGGCACCTGGTATTCCCTGAGGTCTCCCATCACAGCTCTAACCAGACCCCGTGCTGCTTAGCTTCAGAGGTCTGACAGGGATCTGGCAGGCAAGAAAAACCCACACCGCCTTCTCCATCGATCACGTCCGATTGATTGATTCAGGATTACGTGTTTACGAAGGAGGACGACCAAGAGGAGCGGGTTGTAAAGCTTATGCTAACGATGCAAGAGCAAACCGAATAATCAATAACCCGTCATGTTATAAAACTTAAAAGGAGTGGATGGATGGCGAACGTTGGCCCAATTTCTCATCTCTTGAATGCGAGATAGAGGCTGCTGCATACCACAAACCTGAGAGCGTAGCAGCACGAGGAGAAATTGGGACAAAATAACCTCAGCTCAAGCAATTATCAATGGATTTTCTGCTGGGAACAATGTACCGCGACAAGATTGAGAAGCTGTTTCAACCTCTTTACGCGCAGAAATAAGCAGTGGGTGTTGACTGGATGATTCTCAATGCGTGGGGGAAATGGTTGCTGTATGGAATAAGCCAAGGAAGCAGCTGCAGTTTCTCTTTTTTTATAGATAGTAAACCATATGGGAGGTCTTCTAGTAACATCAGTAGCCAATGCTCAGACATGAATCGAAAAGCCTGTCGGGAGAAGGTCTCTGAGCCCAGGCCCTGGCTTCTTTTAGACTTTCCACACACGACGGAGATCAATAGATGGTTGAAAGCTTTTGGCCCGAGTTTATGTGCTCAACTTGGAACCCGATGCCACCATAAATCAAGCCTCTGGAGAAAATTAACTCCTTTTGACCTGCTGGATCTGCGTCGGTCTGTGGAGTGGGCAGATGCGTCTGGTCAATCGTGCGATGATTACAGAAGCGGTCCACAAACTTGTCACTCTAAGTACCTTGAAGTGTCAGCTCACTCCAGGGTAAGAGCAGGTAATGCCGCTCTCGAAAGCAGTCCAAGAGTTGTCCTCAACCCATGCGATGTCAAGTCATGGTTTGATTGATCATGGCAGCTCTTTAGAAGTCATACAAAAGCCTGATAAGCATTTGAATCCAGATCTATGTCTGAATATTACTGTACACTCAAATAAAAAGAGGTAATTGCTTGAATCAAGTGTTTTTTGTCTCATTCTTATTACATTGTGACAAGCTTCACCAATGGGACAAAGCCATTTCGTCTAATTTCAAATACTGTTGCTTTATTTTCTCATTCCAAACTAGACATTTCTTGTATATTTTTAAAACATGATAATTTTTCTTTGTCGCATTTGTAAATCTTGTTTTAAGGCAGTGAAAATGTGCTCAAATTAACATGTTTTTTGCTAGATTTGAGCAATTGTAATACTTATTTATCAGTCTATTGTGTGCACTGCATAATGTAATAGACATTTTACACTATACATATATACATAGATAGAAATAGATGGATAGGTATTGAAGAATTTTCTGCTCGCTAAGAACCATAGCAGCTACTATTCTATTGAATTTTATTGTATAATAGGATAAATATCTTGCTTATTTGACCCTGAAAGTCATTCTTTAGAACAGGGGTGTCAAACTGGTTCCAGAAAACATAGATGTAGCCACAGGTTTTGAGTCCAACTAGCCCCCACCCATTGACTCAAGTCTTTTAGGTTCAGAGACTGGACTCACAGAAATAAAGTATCTATGTGTATATTTGTGATATTAGACCAAAAAAGTAATATGTTACCCAATGGATGTCCCTTCTCCAAATTCTTCAAAATGGCAGACGCTCCATAAAGGAAAGTCCCTTGTGTTGTCCTATAGTAGAAAGGCACCTCAAACACAAATCTCAAGCTGAATTTTCCCAAATTTGTCATGCAGACCCTTTTAGACCCTAGGGTATTGTTAGGATTAGATACCAAGACTTTGTCATCTTCTTCAGTATTATTGACCCATTGCAGCCATGGGTCAGAAAAACATAAAAATCCTTACCTGGACTCAGTTGCCTAATGATAGTTAGGTGCAGCTAAATGGGTGAGGATTGGTTAAACATAATTATTCTCATCACTAAAGTCTGTGAACGTAGGCAGATGTATTCAAGCACACACATATCAAAATAAAACTGCAAAAGATATTTCAATGGTGCTGTTAATACTCCATGAATACAAATGGAATTATGTTGATGTGTTCTCACAGTGGGTACAAATGACCCCTTGCCTTGGCCGACCATCAACAATTGTATTTTACTGAATGTACAGCACAGTATCATATTTGTAGTGTGTAGAATTGTTGATTAGTTCTCATGGTGGATACCAAAGACCTCTGTTGATTAGTTGCATTGTATTCTGTGAGAGGGGGTCTGCTTCATCCAACCCCTTTTTCAAACCTTTATTAGGGAGAGGATGTGCAAAATTGTGCTCAAGGGCCTTTACCTTGGACTCCTTTGTCCAGAGACTGCAGTGAGGCAGGGGACATGGCCAGTTGTATGAATCTGTCAGACTGACCATATTCGGAAACAACAGCTGATTAGAGGTACCCCCAACTGCCACCTCTAACAAAGGCGGAAGTTTGAAGGTGTATTAGCATTACTAGCTTCTTTACACACTTTGTCTTACTCTAAGAATCACTCATGTTCAATCAATTTCATCCTCAAAAACTCACAAATGCTCAAAAACTCGCTCAAACCAGCAGCTTCTTCCGAAGAATGCGCAAAAATTCTCAACAAACAAATAAATCCGCATATGGACAAGGGACTTCCTTACCGTGTCCCCCGCGTGTGAGGAAGGGCATCCGGTTGATAGCAATGGGCACGGTGCCATGCTTGTTGTGGAAGTGGTGGACGTGGTGGGTGGTGCTGAGGGAGGAGGAAACTCGGGCTGCTACGGCGGGACAGGGGAACACCAGCAGGGCCAGCGATAAAACCAGCCGGAACAAGAAGGCGGGACTGGCCCACACGGCGGCTGAGGCTACCCCCTGCTGCTGTTGCTGCTGCTGTTGTTGTTGCGAACTTCCGCCCGCCTCCTCCACCTCCCATTCCACCTCCTTCTCCATGGGGGCGGAGCCTACAGGCAGGAGCGCGTGGCCCCTCCTCCTCAGACGACACAAACAGGAAGTGAACATCTCAAAGGAATCCCGCGCCCATGGTCCCCCTTGCCTTCCAGCGGGGGGTGTGAAAAAAGCAAAATGAAAAAAACCAAGGCAAAAAGATCCAATAAGATTCCGTGACGAAATAAAGAAAAAAGAACGCAAAAAAAGCACAAAATCCTTCCAGAAATGAACGACCCCCCAAAAAATCCCGAGTGTCCAACGCAGAATCGGTATCCACAAGCTTCTAGTCTAGCGTCGTAATGACCACAACCCACTATTGAATGTTTACAACTTCCCAAGCGTCGTCAGGTCTAACTCGACTCCATCTTGGCTCTTCAACAAATAAAATTTAAAAAATATTGACAAATGTGGGGAAAATGCCTTCACTTTATCTTAATTGCTAGATTCTCCACCCACAGAACGAGACTGGACTCCACCCTGTAATCCAAAGCTAACCAAGGCTATTCCGTACTGAAAATCACCACAAGACATGGAGTCAAAGCCCAGTGCGAATATATCAGGAAAGGCATGCGTACAAGACAGCTTATTGTGGCAAACTGGCAGTCCAAAAAACCCCTTTTCCGTGCTTGGGATCCCAGAAAGATCTCGCAATTAAGTCCAAGGCAAGAAATGTCAGTAATTGCAAATCAAATCAAATCCAAAAGGGTCAGCGAGATTCCCAGACTTATCAACGCACTTTCTGTCTTTCCCAGGAGATGATCCGGTCGTTGCTCTCACTGTTTTTTTGTTTTTTTCCCTCTCACTTGCTTCTTGTCTGAAGTAAAGGTAGCTGCGATGTTGTGGGGTATCAGATGTGGCGGGTACTGGTCCTTTCTCGTGCAGCCCCGGAGACGCAGGAACACTTCTTCTCTCCTGGCGAGTCTGCCGATCCGACCGCCGCTGTGAAATTCATGCTAATTGAATCGGGAGCTGCTGCAGCAACAACGCGCGCATCTATCTTCTCCCACAGTTTTCATGCCGTTCTGCCTTTTCGGGTTGGATCAGTTTGGGATCGATGGTCCGGTGATGAGTGGTAGATTGGTCGGTGGGTACTAGGGTGATGGCGAATGCAAAAAAGACAAAAAAAAGCAGTCCATAGAGAGGGAGAGGGGAAGAAAAAGAGAGGATGAGAAAGATTCTTTTTGTAGCCGTTGGTACACATGCAGAGAGCGGAGACAGGCGAGTGTTTGTGTGTGTGCGTCTGAGTCGGAGCACGGTGGAGTGAGCGAGCGAGAGAGACAGAATGAGGGGAGAGAGAGAGGGGAGGGAGGGGAGGTGCTGCACTGCAAAAAGTGGATATTGAGCTGCTGGAACAATGACTTCAAAACAAGGGACAATTTGAGATGATTGAAATATTTTTTTTTCTTTTCTTACAAGAATAGATTGATTTGCGTGTGTTATCCAGAAGGATTTTCATACTGGGAGACATTACAAACAAGGCAAGGCAAGGCTGGTTTATTTGTATTGCACAGTTCATACACCAGGCAACTCAAGTGCTTAATGAATTGAGAATCAATTAAAAAAATCACAGGCGACACTGACATTATAAATAATCACAGAACATTATGGTTTCCTCAACCATTTGGTAGATCACCTTTTGAGTCAATCTACCTTAAGCTTGGACCTGAAATATACCTCTTTGGAGAATCTCACTTGGGTTGAGGCACATTTACCAAAACAAACTGCTTCTCAACCAATTGGTAGTCCTGTAATTATAATAATGTTAATAAATATGGGTTAAAAAGAAGTAAAAACAAATGTTATTATTGCTCCTACATCTTAGAAAATCCCCCCCAAAAATAAAATACATTACTTTCTTCAAGTAAGTAAGTAAGTAATCTTTATTTATATACCACCTTTTCACTGCAGATCTGAGTCTCAAAGCGGTTTACAATTGTAAATTTTTTTTTGGGCATTTGTCTCTCACTCCACACAGAGATGGGAGCAGGGTCACCAGTACAGGAGGCGCATGCCAGAACTATTGGACATATTTTTAGTGGTAGGGGAAACCGGAGTACCCGGAGGAAACCTACGCAGACACGGGGAGAACATGCAAACTCCACTCAGAAAGGCCCTGGTCCGACCGGGATTCGAACCCAGGACCTTCTTGCTGAGAGGCGAGAGTGCTATCCACTCAGCCACCGTGCCGAGGAGTGAATGTTAAAGGGTTAAAAAGAGTAAAAATACAATCCCACAGTTGTAGCACAGCTAAACTGAACTGTTTTTAACCTGGATTTGAAAATTGTCAGAGAAGAAGCCTGTCTCATGTTGTCAGGAAGACTGTCCTAGATTTTAGCTGCATGAATCTGAAACCAGACTAGACTATCTAAATGAGTTTTTGCTGTGTATTAGGGTGACAATATTGGTTTGAATCAATAATGTATCAATAATTCCTTACCGATTTCTCTTTTTATTAATATGAGTAGGGATGTCCATAAATGGCCTGGATCTTTAATCTAAAATATAAAGTGAAATCGCAACTTGAGATGTAAGAGGTGCACTTAAAGCTTGACAAGGATTTAGTTTCTGTAACTAGTTCCTCGCTCTCACAACAGTTTGAGTCTATCCATTTCGAACACATCTCTAGATCAGCTTTTTCAGACAGACAAGTGAAAGACAAAGGACGACCCTCACTTAGCCAATCCGCTCTGAGCCCAAGTGTCCAACAGGGACTCAAAGGGTACTCAATGATTGCTAAATACATAATTTATTCTAATACTGTGAGGAAAGGATGTTGTGGGCTGAATTCTCCACACCATACCATGTAGGGATGTCCATAAATGTCCCGGATATTTAATCTAAAATGTCTAAAATATAAAATGAAATTGCAACTTAAAACTGGACTAGAATTACGTTTCTGAAACTAGTTCCTTGCTCTCACAACAGTTTGGGTCTATCCTTTTCTAACACATCTCCAGATACGCTTTTTTTCAGACAGACAAGTGAAAGACAGAGGATTACCAGTAGGGACTCAAAGGGTACTCAAAGTATGCTAAAGATTACATGTATTCTACAACTATGAGGGCAGTATGTTGTGGGCTGAATTCTCGACACAATACTACTTACTCTTTAAAGACTTACACACTTACTTCCTTAAAAAAACCCAAAACGCATCTGAGATAAAGAGCAAAACCAGGTACACAACTATGCAAATATGGGTTTTGTTTTTGTAGTGCAGGAGGTAGGAGTGAGCGAGCGCAGAGGAGAAGGACCGATTCCACTGTTTACACAAATAGAAGCCAATGGGGACGGATGGAGACGGCGAGGAGATCCAGGGGAAGGCGTGACGGAGCAGCGGCTGCAGAACTTATGCAATCCCTGTCTTTGTGGAGGGGAGGAGAGAGGGCTCGCTGGCTTTTGGGTTCTTCCCTGTGTATGTGGCGGCGTTTGGAAGGGATCAAAGGGAATGGGAAATAGCGTGAATAATACAGGAGGCTCTCTGCAAAACGCCACAGTTGAGAGACGCTGGGAATCGAGTCCTCGTAGGGAAGAAGAGTCGGGGAATGAACTCCCCGAAAGTATTAGAAGGAGTATAGAGGGTTTGTGTGCAAGAAGAAGTAACTTACATTGAGATTTACTTCGGTTAAACTCGAAAGTTAGAGCTGTGGTCATGACACCACATTAAAAAAGAAGTCTGTGGGAGCTGGAATCAGTAGTAGTAATAGTAGTAGTAGTTGTTGTAGTAGTCATAGTAGCAGAATAAGTCATAGAAGTATCAACAGTAGTAGCTAGTAACTATTAAAGTAGTGCATATTTATATAGTGCATTTTACAGACCGAGATCACTCAAAGCGCTTAACAATTGTTTAGAGTTTAGTCTCTCCACACAAGGTGATGACGGAAGCTAGTCGCTGAACACACTGGTCCATTAAAGCCTCCCTGTGTAATTTTTACAGCTGCTCCATGTGAAAAAACATGTGACTAATAACAAATGTGACCTTTTTAAGAATATTTACCTCCACCATGTTTTTTTAATTGTATTCATAGGCTTAGAATTTAACTTAGGTGTGTCCATGAGAGAGGAGGACTATCCGTGTAAATGCGCCATCTTGAAAACCGGTGGTGGATAAGGACAAAAAGCGAGAAACGAGTTTTTGTTTCACATAAGCTACTGATATTGATTTCACCGTGCCTTCACAATTTGGAAGCAGGAACCATGGAGGACCAGAGTTATATAAAAGAACCACAGAGGACCACAGTTATGTAAAAGAACGATCGGAACAACAATCTTTTAGATAAATAATTATGTAGAAGTCCAGCGTCATAGCAGCGAAGTGTCAACATCGCAAACCACACGCACAAAGACAGCATTAACAACAGGAGGTACATCGTGTAGTTTGTCACACGTGAACAATACGTCACTTTTTCACACTGACAATAAGTACGAGGCAGAATCTGCAACACAGTCTCAGGATGTTCTGACCCGATCCGAGCGCAGTCCAACTACTGTCACAAGTTTCAACTAAACTTATTCAGGGACAAGCATCAAATAAAACACACAGAATCCCCACAAAACGATCGCCAGAATAATGTATCAGCAGCGAGAGTGAATGTTCTGTTTTTCTTACCTGGTGATACAGATTGGGCGATGTGGCTAACGCTAATGCTAACATGAGCTTTGCCATGTCCTGCTGCTGCTGTGTATATCTCCTGCTTCTTTGATCACCACAGTTTTAACCTCACACAGACTTTATTCCTCCATGTGTCTCTTCTCTTCACACCGCGTTTGTAAAACTATATATTATAATAGATCCATGGTAAAACTATATATTATAATAGATCCATGGTAAAACTATATATTATAATAGATCCATGGTAAAACTATATATAATAATAGATCCATGGTAAAACTATATATTATATTAGATCCATGGTAAAACTCAGTAGAGCCTCTGAACGCGGTCTTGTTTACATGTCGCGTCCACGAGTCTGTCAAGTGCCCGAGACATTTGGAGAGATCCGGTCATTTATCAAACTAAAGTATTCTTTCCTTGGCAGTCTGGTGAAAGACTGAGAGTTGAGGAGCACTGTCAA